GTATGAATTACACTGCAGTAAACATGCATGTGCAGGCATCTTTTTAATATAGTAACTTTGCTTTCCTTGGGGTAGATACCCAGTAGTGGGATTGCTGGATCAAATGGTAGATCTTTTTCTAGTTCTTTGAGAAATCACCATACTGTTTTTCATAGAGGTTGTACTAATTTACATTCCCATCGGTAGTGAATGAGTATTCCATTCTCACTGCATTAACACCTACATCTGTTGTTTTTTAAAAATGGCCATTCTTACTGGGGTAAGGTGGTATCTCACTGCAGTTTTAATTTACATATCCCTGATGATTAGTGATGTTGACCATTTTTTCATGTTTCTTTGTCACTCATATATCTTCTATTGAGAAATATTTATTCATGTAATTTACCTACATTTTAATGACAGTATTTGTTTTTTTGTCTTACTGATTTGTTTGAGTTCCTTGTAGATTTTGGATATTAGTCTTTTGTCAGATGTATAGTTTGCAAATATTTTCTCCCTACCAAAAGAGAGCCCACATAGCCAAGTCAATTCTAAGCAAAAAGAACAAAGCGGGAGGCATCACACTACCGGACTTCAAACTATACTACAAGGCTACAGTAATCAAAACAGCATGGTACTGGTACCAAAAAAGAGATACAGACCAATGGAACAGAACAGAGATCTCGGAGGCAACACAACATATCTACAACCATCTGATCTTTGACAAACCAGACAAAAACAAGCAATGGGGAAAGGACTCCCTGTTCAATAAATGGTGTTGGGAAAGCTGGCTAGCCATGTGCAGAAAGCAGAAACTGGACCCCTTCCTGACACCTTACACTAAAATTAACTCCAGATAGATTAAAGACTTAAACATAAGACCTAACACCATAAAAACCCTAGAAGAAAATCTAGGCAAAACCATTCAGGACGTAGGTGTAGGCAAGGACTTCATGACCAAAACACCAAAAGCATTGGCACCAAAAGCCAAAATAGACAAATGGGACCTAATCAAACTTCACAGCTTCTGCACGGCAAAACAAACAGTCACTAGAGTGAATCGGCAACCAACAGAATGGGAAAAAATTTTTGCAGTTTACCCATCTGACAAAGGGCTGATATCCAGAATTTATAAAGAACTAAAACAGATTTACAAGAAAAAAACTAACAAGCCCATTCAAAAGTGGGCAAAGGATATGAACAGACACTTTACAAAAGAAGACATACATGAGGCCAACAAACATATGAAAAAATGCTCATCATCACTGGTCATCAGAGAAATGCAAATCAAAACTACATTGAGATACCATCTCACGCCAGTTAGAATGGCAATCGTTAAAAAATCTGGAGACAACAGATGCTGGAGAGGATGTGGAGAAATAGGAACACTTTTGCACTGTTGGTGGGAGTGTAAATTAGTTCAACCATTGTGGAAGACAGTGTGGTGATTCCTCAAGGACCTAGAAATAGAAATTCCATTTGACCCAGCAAACCCATTACTGGGTATGTATCCAAAGGATTACAAATCGTTCTACTATAAGGACACGTGCACACGAATGTTCATTGCAGCACTGTTTACAATAGCAAAGACCTGGAACCAACCCAAATGCCCATCGACGATAGACTGGATAGGGAAAATGTGGCACATATACACCATGGAATATTATGCAGCCGTCAAAAACGATGAGTTTGGGTCCTTTGTAGGGACATGAATGAACCTGGAAACCATCATTCTCAGCAAACTGACAGAAGAGCAGAAGATCAAACACCGCATGTTCTCACTCATAGGCGGGTGCTGAACAATGAGAACACATGGACACAGGGAGGGGAGCACTACACACTGGGGTCAGTTGGGGGGAAGTAGGGGAGGGACGGTGGGGGGTGAGGAGCTGGGGAGAGATAGCAAGAGGAGAAATGCCAGATATAGGTGATGGGAAAGAAGGTAGCAAATCACACTGCCACGTGTGTACCTATGCAATAATTTTGCATGTTCTTCACATGTACCCCAAAACCTAAAGTGCAATAAAATAAATAAATGGGGGAAAAATATTTTCTCCCATTCTGTAGGTTGCCTGTTCACTCTGTTATTTCTTTGATCATGCAAAAGGTGCTTAGTTTAATTGGTCCCATTTATTTTTTGTTGTTGTTGTTTTTGTTGCATTTGCTTTTCACCATAAATTATTTGCCTATGCCTATATCTAGAAGAGTTTCTCTTAGGTTTTCTTTGAGAATTTTTACAGATTCAGATCTTAGATTTAAGTCTTTAATTCACCTTGAGTTAATTTTTGTATATGGTGAGAGATAGGGATCCAACTTCGTTCTTCTACATGCGGCTATCCAATTTTCCCAGCGTCATTTACCGAATAGAGTATATATTCTTTTCTACTATATTCTGTTCCATACTCTGCTCCATTGGTCCATGTGCCTACTTTTATACCAGTGCCATGCTGATTTGGTAACCATCGACTGGTAGTATAACTTGAAGTTCAGTAATGCGAAGTCTCCAGGTTTGTTCTTTTTGCTAAGGATTTCTTCAGCTATTTTTTGGTTGCATATAAATTTTAGGATTGTTTTTTTCTAATTCCATGAAAAATGATGTTGGTATTTTGATAGGAATTGCACTGAATCTGTAGAATGCTTTGGGCAATATGGTGATTTTTAAAATATTGATTCTTCCTATCCATGAGCAAGGAATATTTTTCTATTAGTCTGTGTCAGCTGTGATTTCATTCATCAGTGTTTTGTGGTTCTTATTGAAGTGATCTTTTACCTCCTTGGTTAAATATATTCCTATTTTATTTTTTTGTAGCTATTGTTAATAAAATTGAATTCTTGATTTTATTCTCAGCTGGTTGTTATTGGCATACAGCAGTGCTATTGATTTATGTATACTGATTTTGTAACCTGAGACTTTATTGAATTCATTTATCAAATGTAGGAGTCTTTTGAGAGAGTCTTTAAGGTTTCCTAGGTGTATGATAATATCATTAGCAAACAGAAATAATTTGATTTCATTTTTTCAAATTTGGATGCCCTTTATTTCTTTCTCTTGCCTGATTGGTCTCGTTAGAGCTTCCAGAATGAGAGTTCTTAAGAGAAAATAATGCACTTTGCTTTCTAGGCAAAAAAGGATTGACTCAGCAAGCCTAAAGGGTTCAAATCCTGCACACTCTAAAATAAGTTCTGTCCCTTGAATGACTCCTGGGAAATAAACTTCACAATCTTAGAATATTCTGCTGGATAACAGATCTTTCTTTACCTTGGGACTTGGCCCATGCCAGATGATTGATGCTAAAAATGTGACTTATGGCTGGGCTTTCAGACCATGAGATATCAATTTGACCTCTGGAGAGATGGGAGACTAAGTAATTAAGATCAGTCTTGTGGGATATTTGATGGCTACGTAACTGACCTCCCAATAAAAATCCTGGACGCCAGAGCTAGGTGAGGTTTCCTGGTTGGCAATGGATATGGTTGCTGGAGAGTCAAGCATTATCCATCCATCTCCACTGAGCAAGGATACCTAGAAATTTGTACCTTGTCTCTCCTAGACTCTGCCAAGAATGACTTTTACCTTTTCTGATTTTATCTGTATCTTCTCAAGGTAATAAACTGTAATTATGAATATAACTGCTATTCAGAGTTCTGTGAGTCCTTCCAGGGAATCACTGAGCCTCAGAATAGTCATGGGGCTCCCCAACACACTCTTTCAACAGTAAGTAATGAAGAGAAGCTATGCTGCAGGTAGAAAAACATACCAAAATTGAAGCCCCACTCTGCCATACACCTCTGGGTGATCTCATTGAAATCAGTTTACTTGTTCATCTCTTTTGAGATTTAAATAAGATTCTACATTATATATTTATTCATTTTAAAAATAAATATTCATTGAATGCACCATCTTTTTGTCACATAGATGTTCAAAAAGTGATTAAGGTTAGAGATGATTAATTTATTTGGCCAGCATGTGAGCTTCTTCGCTCTATTTTAAGTTCGTTACATTAGGACTCTAAATTTGGACATAGGTCCCCCTACACATTTGTAGACAGGTATGTTCACAGTTTGTAGTTAATAAATGAACATTTTCATATGGTTACTTGGCTGCCATTTTCTCTTTAGTATCTTGAGCCAAGTCCTCTGGTTTCAAATAGCCTGTTTTTTAAATCAACTAGAGACTCAGGAAAACAGCCTACATATAAAAATCCCTGAGACAGTGCCAGAATAATATTTGGAATATAGTAAGTGTTAGTTGAACATAAACACCTAGAGGATTTTGTTCCAAACACTGTTTAATAGGTATATACATTATCTTTCTTATCCAATAACTGAAATACCAGAAAAACAAAGACTCAGGATATGGGACAAAATATAATGTTTTTACCCAGTTTTTTGTTCTTTCTTTACCAGTGTATACTACACTGGAGGTTTGCCTTTGCTGTGGGGTCAATTGTGTCCCCCCAAAAGATGTATTGGGGCTCTAATCCCTGATACTTGTGAATGTGACCTTATTTAGAAACAGAGTCTTTGCAGATATAATAAATCTATAATGAGGCCATACTTAATTAGGGCAAGCCCCAGTCCAATGACCGAAATTCTTACTAGAACAGGGCAACTTGGACATAAAGGGAAGATGGTCTTGAGGAGACAGAAGCAAAGATGACTGTTATGCTGCCGTGAGCCTGGAAATGCTAAAGATCGCTAGCAACCACCAGAAGCTGGAACAGACAAAGAAGGATTTTTCCTCAGAGCCATCAGCGTGAGCATGATCCTGCTAACACCCTGATCCCAGACTTACGCCTTCAGAGATGTCAGATAAGTTTCTGTTGCTTTACACAAAGCTACCCAGTTGTGGCAGTTTGCTATTGAGGCCCAGGGAGCCAATACACAATGCATTCCCCATTCTATTTTGCCATACATAGGTCTTTGGTCTTTGTCTATTCTTGCATTGACAGAATATAATCTGCTTCCTGGAAGGTAGAAGGAAGCAGCCAGGAAGTTGGAGGCAAAAGGAAATGACTCACCACGGGACTCCGGCCAACGCTGCTCAGGTGGTAGAGGAGTCCTTTGGCATGGTAAATCGTTGGCTGCAGATGAGCACTGGGAGAAAGCCATTGTCTGTTCAAATCTTCCCCACTCAGCGAGCATCTGTGGCTACAGGAAGAAACAATAAGCAAATAAATACACATTCAGGAGAAAATAACTTGAGAAAATAAATCTCCGCAAGATAAACAATTAAACTAATGAATTCAAAACTTTCCTCTGGTTTCTGCCCAATTGGCATCAATCTCAGATGTCCAGAAAGCTGTAGATCTGTCATTTAAGCTCCAAAGTATCACGATTATTCACAACCCCAAAAGGAACTAGAAACCGTATTTGACTTACTATTGACTTACTATTAACAGAGTTTTAAGACAAAGTTGGAAAATGTAGTTCCCAACTATACACATCCATGGGGAATAAATTGAATAAATTTCTCTAGGCTATGGGTTCTTCGGTTCTACGGATAATTAAGTCACATTCAATCTGTGGTACTGGGTATGTTACATATGATATTTCCAGCTGGCTCAATTACTCTGCAAGGTAGATATTAGAGCACCCCGATGAAGAGAATGAGGCTTAGAAATGATTAAATAAATGGCTGGAGATCTAGGCCATAAGAAAGAGCTAGGCTTCCCCCCCAGGTTTATTGGTTTCTAACTCTTATTCGCTTTCTTCTCTTACACTGCTTGACATTTACCAAGAGAATCAGAGTACCTTTTACAAATATATCATCGTGGTGTATTAGGGCAAGAATGAGCCCAAAATCATCTATTCCCTCATTTGGGGAATGATGATGTTCACATTGGAAAGTACCGAGTTACTTTACAAAAGTGACCCAGCTGATAGTGAGAGGGTTGACTACCACTGACAGTGAGGAAACTGAGATGCTGAGTTGTCAGGCAGCGTGGTCCTGAAAACCCACAACCACCAGAGATTACCAAGTGCAGCCCCTGCACAGGAGACGTTCCCAGCGGTCCTGCTAAGGTGTCATTTACTCACTAGGGTCAGTGAGCTAAGGACCACAGGTCTGGAGGATCAGCACGTCGTCTCCATCACCTCCAGCACGCCCTCTCCTCCCGAGCCCTACGCCCTTGTCCTTCTGCAACCAAGCTCTATGGAATCACTAACAGTTTCCACTTGACTTATGGCCTCCAGAAATGTGAGATGAACTTCCGTTGTTTTAAGCGACACAATTTGTGGTAGTGTGCTACAACAGCCCTAAGAAACCAATACACAATACATCGCCCATTCTGTCTTGTCATCCATAGGTCTTTACTGGGACTCTCTCAACTTCGTGCACTCTTCAACTTTTAGGGTATCAATCTGCAGGGGAACTTTCTATGACTTTCCAGGCTACTGCATCCATCTCCTATTTCCTACAAAATAACATCCTGAGGCCCCCTTAATCAGAGTCCTTATGGAACCATTTTGGATGCATTTGAATTGTCATTTCTCTTGACTTCCCGATTAAACTAGGAGCTTCATTGGGCCAGGGACAGTGGCAGTCTCTTGGTCACCATCAAAACTCTAATATAGTAACTCCACCAGGTTATTGGGTAAATAATTTAGAAATAATAAATTCACCAGCATTTATACATACAATCAGATATCATTTCTGTTTTGCTTTGTTTCAAATGCACTGTTTTCAACAAACATTAGAGCCAAAAAGAAGGTTCAGCCTTCTCCTTCTACCACTTATTCATTTCCATGTCCCTGAAATTATCTTTAAATATTAGCTTCCTGCTGCCTGTCAGGCCCTCTTACAACTTACTGGAAACTGAAAATCTTTAGATTAATCACTTATCCTGATTTCTTCATTAAAATATTTTGACTTGATAAATGATAGGTCTTGTGCATGCGCCTCTCTGGCTTTTTTGGTCTTTGCCTGCTTTTTTTCTCCCTTTCTCCTTTTAATAGCAATGACATCTAGAAATAGAGTTTATCAGTTCTGCCTGGTGACCAAGGATGAAGGTAAAATATGAAGCAGATTTTCAATGCCAACAGCAACAGAAAGGAACAGGCAGCCCAGGCTTGCTCCCGAGCACATTTGCTGTGTTTAAAAACGAATTTCTTTTCTCAAATCAAGGCACTTGCAGGCACAGCATCCCAGAGCCCCAGGTTGCTCTTTGACAGCTCTGTGATTTCTCCTTGCCTTGACCTGTATTCTCATCAGCACTGGAGATTTGTTTTTTCCTTTGTAACATCAACTGTGATGAAATTAGTTGAGGCCCTTTAAAAGCATTTCTGTCTGCGTAAATGAAAATGCAAGCATGACATGTGTCCAGCAGCCAGCAATTCTGTATCAACTCTCTCTACATCTCTATGCTCCATGGAAACCAAGTTCAGGGGCAACATGTGCAGAGAGAAGGCTTATGCATTACCACTTTACATAAGTATTATTTTAGATCACGATTCCCAAGAATAGAAAAAATAAAGTTTTGTACTGCAGCCAGAAGCAGCCCAAGTTTGAATAGGAAGCTTAGTCCCAACTCCCAGCTGGCACCAGATACAGGATTTGAGACCTCTTGGAGAGTTAACGTTCTCATATGTGAAATAAATAAGCCAAACCTCTCCTCAGCTTTATTTTGAGGCTCGAATGAGATATCTTTTTTGGATATCCCTATAGAGAAATATCATAAGCTTCCATCTCTGCCTGTCTGTGTCCATGACTATATCCACATCTATATGTATGTCTACACCTTCATCCACCTCTAAAATGCTCTGGGATGCATTTAGACCAAAGCACAACTTTGACTACATTAATTTGTTCCTTACCTCATCCTAATATTTTTTTTTCTTATGAAGAATAGTTAGGTTGCTATATGAAAGGTGGATGGAAGGGAGAAGTGGCTTGACTAGGAACTCCAGCCAAGAGGCTTTGGTCAGTTTTAAGTATCAGTTGACTTGAACACACCCAAGGGTAGAGGCAGTAGGCTGAACAGAAAAGAATTTAGCTAAGAAAAAATGCAAAGGAATAATCAGTAGAAATTGCTGATTGAAATTTGGGCTGTTAAACAGTGCCCAAAGGAGGACCGCATGAAAGATCATCTAAATATATAGATTCGGAGAGAAATTAGGCCAATGTGAGACACACAGAAGTTAAGAACGCTCTTATTTTAGGGAAAATTTGATCTGTTTGTTTTCTGTTTTAGAGCAGTAAAGGCAATGAATCATTCCATTTGTGTACATAGGTTGTGTGGATTTGGGGAGCCCATATGATTGTATTTGTCTTCAAAGCTCTATGGGGGTGATGATTTGGAGAGCATCTCGGTGTGTGCCTAAGGCTTTGGCAGTCCCTATATCTAAGCAATTGCAGGTTATTATAATATATACAACACCTAACTTGAGTGCTTTTCCTTTTAAAGCAAATCCATTTGCTTCCAATCTCTGAATCCAGTTGGCATTTTGTGTTAATAATATCAGAGATCTGTGCAGTCAGAGGAACTGTTGCTGCTCTTCCCAGGGATTTGTTTTAAGCATCTGAAGATGAAATGCGCCCCATCTTATTATCTACTGTAGCATTTCTGAAATGACAGCTGCTCCTTCTAAGGGGAGAGAATTAGCAGATGGACAGCTATGACTGGCTGGCAATAAATTCAGTGCCTATAATTTCTGAAAAGCAGTCCCCTTCTCAAATAGTTTGAAGTTCTTCTTTCCTTACAAGAATCATGAAATGGTGATTATCACTACAGTTGGCCCTCTATATCCACGAATATGGAAGGCCAACTGTACTAAGCCATTTTATATAAAGAACCTGAGCATCCACGAATTTTGGTACCCATGGTGGTGGGTGTGGGGAAGGTGTCCTGGAACCAATCATCTGCAAACACCGAAGGATGATGTTATTCTTCCCTCCACTGAAAACCACAAAGTTACAAGAAAAAATTATCCACCTTATTTTGTTTTTCACAGATAAAGACATTTGATCTGACTAGTCCTTCTCATTTTAAAAAGCTTTAAATACAGACTAGTTTAAGATGAAGTTTATATGCACTAAATACGCTAGATCTAGGGTGCTCGGATACCCAGTTTGTCTAGGAATGTTGCATGTTTAGCTTTGAAATGCCTGCATCCCAGTAACTCTCTTAGCAAATACAAACCAGAGATGGGATACCCTTGCCTAGATCCTTAATTTTAGAAGGTGATGCAAAGCTAAAATACTTGGCCAGAACTAGGCTGAATTATTTTGCACCGACAGAATGTTTTTAGGTGGAACGTTTGCAGTCCTCTAGGCTCAGATGTCTTCACTGCCTCTGTTTACCTTGACTGTTTCCCACAGCCATTATCTTCCCATTCTTTTCAGGCATTTGTAGCCAAAGTCTGGAAAAGCCCTAATCATTGCAGCACTGTTTACAATAGCAAAGACCTGGAACCAACCCAAATGCCCATCGACGATAGACTGGATAGGGAAAATGTGGCACATATACACCATGGAATATTATGCAGCCATCAAAAACGATGAGTTTGGGTCCTTTGTAGGGACATGGATGAACCTGGAAACCATCATTCTCAGCAAACTGACAGAAGAGCAGAAGATCAAACACCGCATGTTCTCACTCATAGGCGGGTGTTGAACAATCAGAACACATGGACACAGGGAGGGGAGCACTACACACTGGGGTCAGTTGGGGGGAAATAGGGGAGGGACGGTGGGGGGTGGGAAGCTGGGGAGAGATAGCAAGGGGAGAAATGCCAGATGTAGGTGATGGGGAGGAAGGCAGCAAATCACACTGCCACGTGTGTTCCTATGCAACAATTTTGCATGTTCTTCACATGTACCCCAAACCTAAAATGCAATAAAATAAATAAATGGAAAAAAAAAGAAGCAAGAAAATAAAAAGAAAAAGAAAAAGAAAAAAAGAAAAAAAAAACTGAGGTTTTTGTGGGGCAGATCTTTTTCCTTAAAAAAAGAGAAAAAAGCTTCTGATCTCCAGAAACTATGGTCATTTTATGACCATACAAAAGCATCTCAACTGAAATTATCGAAGAGTCAATCAGCAGCACTAATCCTAACTAAAGGTCACTGAATGGAAACCATCAGCTGGACAATTCTGCGTAAAATAGAACCATAAAGGCTGGACAGTCTAAAGGACAGTGATGTGACTTAAAGT